CCACCCACCCTGCCCGAGGCTGCGAGCTCCTGGTCATACCTGCGGAAGTCCAGAAGTGACCTCGCGGAGGAAGGCACGCCCTGGTCGTGCCAGCTCAGGAAGTGGAACTGGGTCACGGTGCGCGTCTCGTTGGTCTGCAGGTTCTTCAGGTAAAAGCTCCTCACGAGGAAGTCCTCACACCAGATGTGCTCGGAGACCAGGTTGACCTGGCGGGAGGAGAGGGGACAGCACAGGCGTCGCGGGGCAGCCACTTAGGGGACGGAAGGGCCGAGACCACACGTTTCACAGTGCAGATGGGCTGACCGCTGGCTGCAAGGGCCCCTCCCGCCTTCTCAGTTTTAACACATTTATACAAAGGGCAACTTTGTGGGTTTTTCTTTAATGTCACATAGGGGCTTAATAGTCAAATCATCAGCAAAACGTGTTACAAAAAACTCCAATGTTTTGCCTGTTGTATTTCTAAGTCACATAAACCTCCAAGAAAAATCACCAGAGAAAAACAAGTCTCCTGAACAGAAACACCAGTGGGGTTCCACCTGGACAAAGAAGCTGGGACCGGAGCGTCACACAGACCCAGCGCTGGGCCCTGCGTGTGGCACTTCTGGGGGGAAGCCCATTTCTGTGACCCGAGTGCCACGACTGTGTGATTCGGGATTGATCCTTAAGCTTCCAACATGGTTCCTGTCGTGGATGTGGGCATCTGACCACTTTCACGCAAAGCGCAGGCAAAGCACACATCTGGGGCTCGTTTGACCGCCCGAGTTTCATGTGGCTGGAAAATCTAGCCAGAGAAAAACGCTTGCCAGCAGGTTCTCCAAATAAAAAGGTCACCACAAGCCCACAAACACAGCAGGAGACCACAAATGGCAGGTTCTTTCTAAAGCCCGACCAACCAAGAGGCCTCGTTCCAGGACCCGGCTCTCAGCTCACCCTGTGAGGTCATCTGCTTGGTCCTTTCCATCTGCATTTGATTCATAAACCTTCAGAAACGAGGACCGTGCCATTCACGCCACAGCCCGAGTCACAGAGAGCCAGCTGTTTGGAGGGCCTGGGAGTCCCTGACCACGGGCCCTGGGGATGCCCATGGGCCAGCCTCCCGGCTCCCAGCGGGGACCTGGCCGCACAGCGCGGCTTCAGTGGGGACAGGGGCCCGGGGTAGGCACCGTGGAGAAGTACCTCGTAGACGTGGTAAAGGTTGGAACCTTCGTCCGGCCAGTAGTGGTAGCACTGCCTGACGCCGTTCTCCGACAGGGGAGTCAGCATGACGATGACCACGCAGCCACTCTCCCACACCATCTGCGCACAGAGAACGACCGTGGCGTGACCGGCAGTGACCGCCACATTCACACACCCACAGGACATTTACCCCATTTTCCTCAGACGCTTCTGCTCTGCAGCTGCGTTCACAGCTCTCAATACACTGGCCCCATATTTTGCACGTTCCATGAAATGTTTTACAAAATCAAGCTAATTCATTCCACACCTTTTAAATCCTCCCCAGTTCTACGTTCAGCAGTGTGGCTTGCCAGCATCTGCTCTGGGAAGGGAACTCTCCAGAATGCAACCCAAAACAGACATGGCGTGCGGCGTTCCCTCCTCAGCAGCCGCAAGGAAACGGCCAGTGGCCCACGCCCCGCAGACGGGCATCGGCTGACACGCTCGCTTCCGGGCAGTCGTCACTATGTGCGTCACTATTAGGCATCTTGCTTGGTGAAGCTGCTCTCCAGTCAGAAGCTCTGGAAGGTTCTTTTCAGACAGCCTGACAGGAACCAGCGCCCACTACCGCAGTTTCATTACTCATCCCAAAATATAGCTATTCACGTGAAGACACATCTCAAACCGGTTCAATAATTCATAATAGCACATAAAAAACAACTCCATGATACAGTGAACTGAACACACATGAAACATAGCAAAACTGGCCAGGACACAAACGCCTCCAGCGCCAGCGCCAGCGCCAGCACCAGGCCCGTGGCCAGGAACACAGGCTCGGAAACCCCGAGCGTGAGGGGCCGTGGTGGCACTGCCGGGTTTACGGCTCAATCGCCGGCGTGGATGGGCTGCCTTCCCCGCAGCGCTCTCGTTAACTGTGCGGAAATATTTACAAGCATTTACATGTAAATTTAGTATCTGTGAGAGCTTCTATTTCCTTCAAATACCCATATAACAATCCAATTACAATCTTGTTATTTAAAACATATCTCAAATGTAAAATGCTCTCTCTTTAGAGTTCATGTCATTAAACCCCCCTTAAGTTATATTTTAAAAATCAGACATGTGCACGACAATTCCCTCTTTCCACAGCGATTTACATTCCCATGTGACACAGACAGTCCTCTCAGGCGCCTGACAGTGGACCATTCGTGTTGGAATTTAATGGAACCCGCTGACGTGTTTACGAAAAAGCCCACAAGTCAACGTGAACGCTGCTCAGGCCTGCACCCTTCTCTTCCCTCGGTGCCAAGCCAGCCACATGTGGAGAATTCAGGGCCCAGTTCTGGCTTCTAGCTTTGCAGGCCGCTGATCGGCCCCGGCACACAACCACTTAATGTGCCTTCGGAAGGCGGAGGGGGCTCACTGAAACCATTACGAAAATGAGGAGAAACACGGATTTTATGAGTGTAATAAAAGCACAATGAGCGAGACCATAAACTAATCACTCAGGCCTCCGCTGTGCCACCCAAGTGTGACATTACGAAGCCCCGTCACTGAGGACGCTTCCGGGCGAGCAGCACACTCATTGGTCCACACACGGCGCTTCCATTTGGGGCGCCGGCTCTCCGATGATTTGGGTAAGATTAAATCCAAATGAAACCTAATTTAAGCAAACAATCCCAAAGGCACTCGTGGGGACAATAGTTCCTTTTCGGTCAGTGTGGGGAAGCACAGAGAGAAATTTACTAAATCAGACAAATAGGCCGCCCACCTGGGCGCCAGCTGGGGACGGTGCTGCCCAGCCCTTTCCCGCCTCGGGCTGGGGCCCGGCAGCTGGACTCTGGCAGCTTCTGAGACCGTCAGCTGCACCTTGGCGGGACCCAGGACCCTACTGGAATTCCAGCTAACTGGCTCCTTTCTCGACAGGCGCAGGTCTATTTCCATCTTCTTCGGCGTGTCTCCTGCAGGGTGCCCATTGGTGTGACCAATCTCAGAGCAGCCGGGGTCTTTCTCTTCTGGGAATTATGTGATGCCCCATAGTCCCTACCGGGTCTTGGGGGGGCCTGGGCCAGGCAGGCGGGGCCTGGGCCAGGCAGGCGGTCGCCTAAATGAGACCTGGACGCTTCAACTGCAGGAGCGCGACCTCCGGCACTTGTTCGCTGGCAGGGGACACGGCTCTCGTCGTCTTCCGGCACGCGGGCACATTTATTGAGCACCTAATATGTTTGGAGGTGCCGAGTCGCGCTGTGGTGTCCTGCAGTCCTGCCCACCGGCGCCCCCCGGGCATAAAGCAGGTTACTTTTCCCCACCGGGAAGCAGGTGCTCACACCCTTGGGTCAGAGCAAAGCCGCCAACACGGATTAAAATCGGGCTGGAAGCGCGGGGCCCCAAGTGTCCGTGAGCCGGCTGTGTTCCAGACAGGAGCCGGGAAGGACCCCTTTGTGCTGGCCCCACTCGGGGCCCACATGCAGGGTCAGGGCGCCCGGACGCCACTGGTCAGCCGGCCGAGGCACCGTGAGGGCCGGGGCTTTGCTGGGGTGAGCCCGGTGGTTCTCAGCTGTCAGGAAGCACGGTGGCCGCCACCCGCTGTGGTCCCTGGAGCCTGCCCCAGGCTTTGCCACTCAAAGGTGACAGACAGAAGAAACTTGCGATGACAACGCAGCTGATGCAGCTTGATGGGCACCTGGCCACGGTTCTCGGGCGGAGAAGTTAATGCAACGTAGTTCAGACAGCTGCCCAAGTGACATGAAACACACACACTGGCTGCTATCTCATCCAAATGCATAAGTTTAATGACTGCTGGTGAGAAAAGGCCATCCTGTGCTTTGTCATGGGTTGAATTTTGTCCCCCTCAAAAAGATATGCTGAAGTCCTTGTGCTGGTACATGCGAGTGGCCTCATTTAGAAAGAGGGTCTCTACAGATGCGACCGAGTTAAAGAGGTGATGCCACTCGCCATCAGGATGGGTCCGATATGGAGCCGATATGAGAACAGAGAAATGTCCTGTGGAGGCCGACGCACAGGGAGAAGGAGCAGAGACGGGCGACGCTGCCACATGTCCCGGACGCTGGGACACCGAAAGCCGGAACACAGGTCCCCCTCGCCAGGCCTAGGAGGGAGCCGACACCCCGAGCTCAGACCCACCTCCACCGCTGCGAGAAGACGTCCTGCTGTCTGAAGCCACCTGGCTTGTGGTGCTTGGTTCCAGCTGCCCCAGAAAACCAACACATGTGTTGACACACGGCCTCCATTCCATCTTGTGATTGTCTGTGGGATTGGAAATGTCAACTCGAAGTTTCATGTATTAGGCTGGTTAAGCAGATGGAACAAAACCACATCCTCTTCACCTGGTCTTTTCTGGATACGAGGTACCTGACGAAGCCCCTCGGATCCCGTGGCTGAGGGGAAGACTCCCAGGCCATTCCCTACAAAGCACCTGGTCCCTCCGGGCAGAAAGCTGCCTCCTTTACCCGACCTCTGCTGATGTAGCCCTTTCTACCTTGTGGCGTCCGCATCGGTGCTCCCACGTCTTCTACCGACTGTCAGCTCCCTGAAGACGAGGTGCTCGTCTGGTGGCCCCCTCTACCCTCCGACGCACCTAGCATGGGGCTTTGCTCTAGTTGATGCTTCCTTGAAGACAATACACATTTTAACAGTTTGGCTATTTCTACAAAAAGAGATAACTCAGAAAAATGCTACCAAAGGCTTGCCAGGACCTCTTCATGGACAGAAAACCATTTTTTGTTTGTTTCTAAAGCGCGTGGATGGTTTGCATGCGTGCCGGGGCTGAGGTGAAGGCGGCCTTCTCTGCGTCGGCCCAGCGCCCCTGCCCCGGCCGCACAGTTCGTTTCCGTTTGAACTTCCCTTCAGGGGTCGAGCAGAGATAAACTAAGCTGGCCACGGGGACGCTGAGTCAAACCAAAAATGATAAGGTGTCAAGTGACGAGCCCACACACGTGCCGTCCACTCCTCATGCTCACTGATGCCACCCAGCTGTCCCTGCTTGGTCTGAAATGGACTAAAGAAGGAAAAGCAAGTGTCCAGAACGCCTGTGGCAGTGGAGACCCCACGCTCTGCTCGCCCTGCCCGGGGCCAGCACTGAGGGACGTGGCATCGGGCCTCTTCAGACGCCAGTTGTCTGTCACACGTCACAGGCTCTGTCACACCACAGAGTTGGCGACGGTGACGGAATGAGTCTTGGGCGCTGACATCTTGACTGCCTTCCGTGCGTGACCCACAATGCGCCGGTCCCATCTGGTTTTGTCTGAACAACCTGTCAGTGTTGCTGCTTCAGAGACGAAGGGTGCGGTGAGGGAAACTGAGGCCCGCGGCCACCATGCTGAATTAAACGCCCAAACCGGTCCTGCGGCCACGATCCAGCAGCAGCAAACCGCAGCAACAGACTCCGGAGTTTCCCCACCAGCAATGCTGGGGCCCAGGCAGGAGGACGCCCACATGAGACATGCCTGTGCCTCACTGGACGCGGGGCCCTTTGGAGAATGGGACGGCCTGTGTCTGTGCCCAGCAGGCCCGAGGCGCGGGGGTCAGCACCGCCGCTCAGGGGTCCCCCGGCGAGGCTGCCGCCATTCCAGCGGCGTGCAGTCGCGGGAGTTATTTGTGCCAGGTGTCTGTACAGGAAGCCCCCTGGGCCCAAGGGAGGGCTGTCACTTAGACTCACTCAGAGTCCCCTGAGCCTTGTTTGTGGTTCAGACTAAATATGCACAGTGTCCTCAGACAGAAGTGGCACTTTCAGGCTGTCACTCTTCCTTTCAAGATCAGGACCTGATGTAAATGCAGCTGATCCCGTTAGGAATGGGGGGGCGGGGAGGGGAGGAGGAGAGAGAGGCTGGGGGACCAAGACGACTCATAAAACAGAGCAGCCAGGATGTTTCAGCTGCGGCCAATACGAATCAGTTAGAAAAGGAACACAGGACACAGGACGTGTGTTTTTACCCCAGCCCGGTGTGAGCACCGACCTGGGTGAGGTGAGGGGGCGCGTACCCCGCTGCGGTGCTGCCCGGCCATCACCGCCCCCCTCCGCAGGGGCGACTGTTTTCAAATCCCATGTTTAGGTAAGGGGGTACGACACACGTTTCATCTTTAAAGGCTTGTGAACTTATGCATGGAAAGTGCAATGAGGCTGAATATTGAAAGTAAAATGTCCTGGAAAATCTAGGGCACATGGTTACAGTACCTGTGAACTCAGGGAACTGAAAAAGCAGGTTTTCCCTAAGCAATGAATGCTCCTCAATTCTGGGATTTCCCTTTAATTTAATGAAAAGAGACGTGTTTTGAAATCAACCAGCCTGGAAGTTGTCAGGGCTCCTAAGTATTAGAGAATTGGTGACATCTCCAAGTACGGCTCCTTTGTCACACGTGGGAGCCCTGGGGTGACTTGGTCTCAGGAGGAGGGGACCCTGAGCTCTGGGTCTGCATGGGGCCTGGGGCGCGGGGTGGCCCAGCTCGCGTGCTCTCTGGTCAGGCCAGGCCCTCGGTGCCTGTGAGGCGGCCACCTGCCCACCGTTGGGACGTGGCTCAGGTAGGTCGTCTGTCTCCCATGCCTCCCCAGCCACAGGGTCAGACCTGCGGACGGCTGACCTCTGTCCCTTCCCCTCCTCCTGTGCCTCCTTCCCCCACACGCCCTCCCCCCACTGCTTGGTCCATAGCCAGGACTCAGCCCCCTGGGCTGCCAGAGGTGCCAGGAGCCAGGTCCTCCCCGGAGGGTATTTCACGAGTCCTAAAACAGCAGGGAGACCAAGCTCAGCTTCCTAACGTGAAACCTACTGGGAGATCAGCACTGTCCTGGGGGAGTCCTGGAGCCTGTTCACGACCCCACGGCTTCCCTCTGCATCTCAAAACTCTCCATCCTGGCCGTTTCCCCCTGAGCCCTGAGGTCTGCTTTATTCTGGTTTTAGATGTCACCGCCCGTGGTGACCCCCTGAGCTGAATACAGCCCTGCAGAGCCGGCCTGGCCAGCAGAGAGGGGAGCCCAGTATTCCTGAGATCAGGGTCTCTGCAGATATAACCAAGTTAAGAGGAGGCCACACTGGCTGGGATGGTCTCTGAGTAGAGTGGCTGGTGGCCTACGAGGAGGGAGATTTGGACACAGAAACAGGCACACGGTGGGAGCGGCCGAAAGCCAGGAGAGGGTTTGCGGGAAGCCCTGAATGCAGGGCCTGGTTGTGGTGACGGGTTGACAGATGTGAGTGATTTTACGCCGTCACGTGCTGGCGTGCCCTGGAGAGGGGATGCCACAGCCAAGAGGAGCCTTGCTCACGAGAAGCGATGGCCGGGACCCAAAGGTTGGTGACAAGGAAAACCCCGGATTTGGGGCCCCGCCTGCCGCCGCAAACAGGCACATTTCTGGCGGTGGGACCTGCAGTGACACTGGGACCTATTGGCAGGCTTTCTTCCACCACCCGACAGAGTATTTGTTCTCCTTCCTCCTGGGCATGTGCGGCCCGAGGAGCAGCTGAACGTCCCAGAGAACCACCCCCCCTCCAGACCCCGTGCTCTGCGGCTGGTCAGCGGCCTTTGCCACGTGGTTGATGATCAAAGAGAAAGTGAGGGAAAAGCCACCGGCCGGCGGGATTTCACGCTTAGTGGCTAATGCTAACGTCAGCCCTCAGCGTCTGGGGACCTCCCTGCATGGCCGGGACCAGTGTGGCCGCTGAGATGTGTCGCAAAGACAGAAACGATCATTTGAGCCCCCTTTTTTACCTTCATGAGATTAAAACAACAGGTAAGACACACGTTTGAATAAAATATCATAATTTAAACATTGATTCATCTCATTTCTTTAAATTTCAAAAAAATGAAATGATAAAGTGGCTCAAAAAGTAAGCGTCTTTAAAGCCTTAGCTTTCTGGAAGGAAATTTTTCATACTCAAGTTTTGAAACAATGATTGACGATAAAAATATTTAAGGCCTCGTATAAATTATGAAATCAAGTCACCTTGGATGAACACCTGTTAGGAAGTTTGAATTGGCTGAACTGAACCCAAGGCATTATTCTTGATTAATTGAAGGTCTTATTTTCAGAAAAATGAATTAATGGAAGAAGACTCGCCTGCCAGAAGTCAGCCACGGTGGCGGGCAGCGGGCCTTGGGTGGCGATGTACGCAGGGCTCCTGGGGTCACGATCCATCTGCAGAGACGAGATGAACAGGGCAGCTCAGAAGCTGGTCAGAAACGAGGGAGTTAGACATCGGCCAACAGGGACATTTGTGGAAGTGACAAACCGCGCCGCCCCTCCCAACCGCCCCTCACAGACGCAAACAGGCACTGGGTGTGAGGCGGCCCCGAGGTCCCCGCGGTCCTGCGCCTGAAGCCCGGCGTCACATCTGAATGCCGCTCTCACACCTGCTGTTGAGGCAACAGGAACCACATCAGCAGAAATGAAGCACCGCCGACCAAAGGGACCAGGTGCCAATGAATTAACCACCACACAGGGTGTGACAAGCAGGGAGGTGCCACCACGCGGGCGAGTGATTCCAGAGCCGATCAGCCCCGCGCCCACCGCCGGCCACGTACAGGATTCAAACAGCGAGCGTGGCTGTTAGACCCGTGGGCGCTGGGCTGGCGAGAGGTGACCCCGGGTTCCAGCAGAGGGGGTTGCTGCTCCTCCAGGCCGAGGACGACCCTTCGGGTTCTAGAAGAATCATCCAACAGTGCGCTGCATCCCACCTTCAGAAAGAGCTGCCATGCCTGACGTGGCCCGTGTTTGTTACCACAAATGGGCCCCGGCACAGCGGCGCCAGGCGGGGTCTGGAGCCCAGTGTGGCAGGCTCATCCCAGGAGGGGCCCAGCCCTCCGTCAGCGCATTATTCTGTTTCCACCATGCCAGACAAGGACTATAAACAAACAAACACGAAACATGCAGGCGTGGGTCTGCTGCCGGTGGGTTGGCCCCAGTGCCGCCTGCCAGCCTCCATGGGGAAAGCTCAGCTCAAAAGATCTTAATTACTTTTAATTTAGACACCGACTAAGCAGAATAAAAAAATAAAGAAAAGAACACGAGAACAAAGCCTGGAGAAGCAGAGGATTAAACACATTCCGAGGTTGGTGAAGGGACCAGTTCTGCCTGTCAATGCCACGGCCGGCCGTCCTGAGGGCAGGGCCCACGGGCTGGGTGTCAGCAACACGTCCTCATCACCAGCCTGGGGACCACTGACCAGCTCCCCAGCCCAAAAGGGGCCCCAGAGACCGAGCCCAGAGGGCAGCGATGGGGTCTTTCCTTTGGGGGGACAACTGTTCACATCTCAGACTGCACGGTCCTTTATTCTTTCAAAAGTAACACTAGCATCTACTCTTCCTACCAGGGTTTGATTCAAGATTTAAAATGCTCTGTACTTAAAGATAGTGGTTAAGAATACATTTCCCGGTACGAGGAAGTTTCAACCAACCACACATAATTCAACGGTGACTCAAGAGGAAGTCGGCTGTAAGCCCTGGTGTCAACTAACGCGCAGCCCTGCGCTTGGGTTTGAGGAGGAGCCCTGTGAGGCCACTTTCTTGAGCAGTAACGTGCTGGGTGGGGCATCGCCCGCCAGCATCTCAGCGGGCGGCGGGCGGCGTAAGGGGACGCCCCAGCCACCTGCAGTTATGCCATAAGAGGCAGCTGCACCCGGCGCGGCCCTGAGACATGGCGCCGGCTGGGCAGGGAGCCCGTGTGCGAGTCAGTGACTCGTAAGGAGCCCAGGCCTCCCCGTGAAAGTCCCCACAACACCCTCAACACGGGGACAGTGCGGTCATTCTCACAGCGGCCAGGGAAGAGGTTTCCGTAGAACAGGGCTCAGCAGGAATGAGGAGTTTTGATTTTTGAAAATACCCAGGCGTTGGGATGACAGGATTTAGGGAGACCCCTGTAGCTACAAGCGAAGCCCCCACAACTCCTTTTCAAACGTGCTTTTTTGCTCAAAGCAATTTAGACAGAAACGCATTTAGCTGCTTTCAAAATGAGCAGTATGCGATTAAAAGCAAAAACCTGAACAGCATTTCAGGAGGGTAAATAAGGCAACAGCCTATTGTGACAGGTCCTAATGGTCGTGGCGGCTCAATCACTGCCCCCCTCCTCCACCCCCCGTGCCTGCTCAGGCCCCCAGGACAGAGGACGTGGGACACTCGACCGACACGCTCCAGCCCCCTCGCCGGCCGCCACCACGATCACGGCGGGAGCTGTGTCACCAGCTGAACAGAAACTCCGAGGACAATTTGCTGACTTGCGTCCCCCACATCCTGGGCGGGGGCTCTGTGGGCGCAACCAACAGGCCACGGCGGCCGCGTCACGGCTTCGCGTGTCTCCAGCTGAAGGAAAGCGCAGCAAGCACGACGAAGGGGTCCGACGTTTTAGTCCACTCAGGATTTGCAGGCAGGCCGCGTGTAAGCGGGGAGGTCGGTGCTGCACACACTGCGTCCTCCAGCGAGAACCTTCCAGCCGGCTGCCAGGCTCCATCGTCTCCGCTTCCTGGCGGCGCGAGCCTGCAGCGCCGACGTTCCTCCCATTCCTTCTGCTTGCTTTCCATTTTTCAGTGTTATACTTTTTATCTGTACGAATCTTTTTTTATCTTTAAAGACTCTAATCTACATTAAAAAAATAACAAAACTTAGCAATAATTTCCCCAATGTTCCAAACAAAACTGATCTTAGAAACGAAGCACTCAGCACGTCCTGAGCAGGTGCCCGTGCGCAGAAGCCGTGGACTCTGGAGAAGGGTGACCGCAGCTGCCGGCCGGCGGGGGGAGGGCACAGCCCGCCTTCACCGTGACCCCAAGTCTCGGAGACCTGGGCCCACCTCGGGGGAGGGGCCACGCCCTTACTCTGAAATCTTACACGGCGAACACGCATGTCACCTTTCTGCATCCCTACCTGCCCACCCTGACATCTACTGTTTCTAACATTTAAGGCAAATTTCGTACATGTTTTCTTAAAAACAAGCGAATATCAAGCCTGTGTTTTCTGGTCACTTTTCCAGATACCAGGTCTCAATTTGGAAATTTACTGGGAAATTGCAGTTTTGGTAGTCAACGGGAGAGGGACTGGCTTACGAGCTTAAATGATTTTCATATTTTATTCTTATGAGTTGAGATTTAAGAAAACACTGACTGTAAACCACAATTATACACACGCAGGTGTCTGCTTGTAAATCTTTTCTGAGGACCAAGGAGTCGGCTGCCGTATTTGTCCACTTCTTAAGCTATTCGGGGCACAGGACCGGTCGCCCTCCCCGGGGGAGTCAGTTTGTGCCTACATACATTAGGTAATGCATTCTGAATGAAAACTTTAAAACAAGTGCTTCGTCTGTAACAAACAGCGGAATGAAGAATAAGTTTACTTTCAGGTGTCGTTGGACATTTCCGATGTTCCTGTGATGAAACGTGCTGTTTTGAGCAAATAGTCGTGTGAACGACCCTGCTTGGCCCGCATCCTCGGTGTCCCCACGTTTACTTTCACGACCTCCAATTTCCAAGCCAAGGTGGCGCATTATTTACTGCTGGACGACGTCACAGGGTTTAAGGACTAAGTGCAAACACAGCAGACGTGATTCTCACAGCTCCCTTCTGCACAGCCGGTCCTCTTGGGCTGGAATTGTAGACATCTCCTTCACCTGCTGCTGGCAGCTCACTGTCGTGGTGCATTCCACTATTTCAAAGGAAGACGCGCCACGGTTTCTTCTCGTTCATTCTTACAACTCGAATTTTTAAAAAAGCATTGTGGTATCAAATAACGGGAAAACACAAACAATACCATAAAAACACTTCTCTCCTGGCATCGCCTTCTGGCCCAAGTCCCTGCACAGGACGAGGGTTCACGTTCCCCCCACACCCCCCAGTGCCCGTGTGAGAGCTGCCGACGGTTTCTGCAGCCTTGTCCAGAGACAGCAAATGAGCAAAAAATCGCTGACATCTGGATGCTGCAACCCACAAAATGGGGAGAGTGGGGTTTGCCACGATGCTGGACTCTCATCATTCAGACTTGGGGCAACTGCATCACTCCCCTGCTGGCCCTGTCATGTGGCTCGTCCCAAGAAAGGAGCCCAGCACGGGACCGCTGCTCCACCCGTCCCCAGGCCTCCTGAGTCGGTCGCCTCGCCGTGGCCCGTCGTGTAAGGACCAAGTCCAGGCAGTTACAAATCCCGGCTTCCTCAGAAACGATGCCGCAGCCATCACAGGAGAGGCTGGCAAATCAGCGAAGCTGTGGCTTGACTCTTTGAACTAGAATCGGCAGAAAAGTACCAAGACACATCGCAGTGCGTTGACTGAGAAAGACCAGTCAAATGGCTCCAGGGAGAACCTCGAAACGTGGAGGGCAGCACCTCTGAGGCCCACCTCTGCTGAAAGGACAGAAGCTGCTCCTCCTTAAGAAAAATCCACAGAAAGAGGTCGGGCCAGGGGGGTGTGGACGGAGAGCAACGGGCAGCTCTCCACATGGAGACCACTTTGCCCCAGCGGAGTCTGCAGTGGTTGCTGTGCCGTCCCTACTGCGTGCGGTGTGCCATCACTGTGTGGTGTGGGGCTTCAGCAGGGAAACTCGGTCCCTGGCTCGCTGAGTCCTAACAACACACTCCCTACAACAGGTGCTCTGATGTGCGTGGAGCCAGCTGCTCTGCACGTGGCTGCCACCCGCGGCTACTGCTGGAAATCACATGGGGATGTTCTCACGTGAAGCTCATGACTGAAGGCGCGAAAGGGCTTACGGTACCATGGGGGGCGTCCCACGAATCCAGAGACGCCCCAAGTCCCACTCAGCCGCCTACATCAGCCGCCACCCCCTGCCTCAGGCCCAAGGCCATGCAGCGTCCGACAAGTGCTATCCTTGGCTGAATGAAAACCCGAGGCTTTGGGGACACATCTGGACGCCTCCACTTGACACCAGGTTACGAAACACAGTATACACGAGTCACGCAGCCCCCAATGCACCCACACCAGCCCCTGCCTCTCTGCCTCCGGCTTAAAAGCCGGCAACCAGGCTCTCAAACTGTCCTCTTCCCACCCACGGTCACTGTCACTTGGTTTTGGGAGGGCAGCTGCCGACACCCCCCACGGCCCCTCTCCCCTGAGGGCTGCCCAGAACGCAGGGACAGCAGGCGACACCACGCAGGTGCGGGCGGGAGGGACCACCCAGGAGCTGGGACCACCGGCAGGTCACGGGGTCTCACACCGAGGGGCCTGAGGGCTGGGCCGCTTTCTCCGGATGGAACACACTGTCCCTCGGCCGAAGCGCCCGCTGTGCGCCCCCCCAGTGCTCACCATCCCATCCGCCACCGACCAAAACAAACCTACAGGGTGGAATGTGCCTCCGTGCCCCCGTCATTAACCCAGCGGCAGGTTTGGGCCCAGATTTTTCTGGTTCCGCTGCATAAACGGAAACGAGTGGGCCTAGGAAAGGGCAATGCAACCCACTACGAATGTTCTGAGAGTCATGGGTTCGGGCCAGTAAACCACCAGGTGGCTAGTGCCGCGCCCTCCACCACTCACCGCCCGCACCTCACAGCACTGCCTTCCCCGCCCAGGACACTACCGCCGGGCTCGCTGGTTAAGGCTGGTTCCCTGGCTGGGACTCCAGTTACCAGATTGCAACCTGGCAGGGCAGGGCCTCGCTTTCCCTGGAAACCCCGCGTGGTTGGGCCCTGGCCGTGCCCCGGGGAAGGCAGGGCGCCTCCGCGGCAGGGTACTTACAATGGGGCTGGCGTTGATGTAGTCCGACTTGCTGTGGCTGTTTTCCGATTTCAGCAGGACCCTGGAGTGGTCGTCTGCAAGAAGCCGAGAGCAGGGTTAGTCTGTGCACAGCCGGCCCACTGAGCGGGGACCCAAGTGCCCCTGGCTGCCCCTGCCACGCGGTGTCGCCCTCGGACTCTGCTCGGACTCCGATGGTGCTCTCAGCGTGACCGTTCCCTTCTCACCTCCGTTTACGGCCCTCAGTACAAGAGGACAACCAGGGCGTGTGGGGAGAACACCACGTCCCACTGGGTACAACTGAGATGGTCCCGTTTTTCTATGCAAAGTTCAAATAGCAACAACAATAGCAAATGGTCCGCTGCAATATTTTACAGAGTTCGCCTGTAAATCACAGACATATTTGGCTATTTACAGTAAATAAATGTCAACACGCATATTAAGCTACCAGGCCACCACTCAATACGTACAGTTTTATAGTCCAGAAACGGTTAAGTGCTAGAGGTTGCCAGAATTTAGTTCAAAGGGCAAGTCACAGAAAAAGAAAATGCAGATAAGAGGGGACAGAGGAGAAATTACAAGTGGGGACTCAACGACAACACTGTGCCTTAAGTGGCAGGATTTTTTGACTGATGTTGAAACCAGACACATCAGTGGGGACTAAGGACCTGAGATTGCCTGACACGTGAATTAGTGTTAATTCTGGTTCCGGAATAACCGCCCTGCTGCACACGCCCTGCGACGTCCCTCTTTGCCTGTTTCCAGGAGCTTTCAAAGCGGGTCCCTGGGTGGAGCGGGGTGGATGGGATTCGGACAGCGGGGTGGGGTGGGGGCTCCGCCAGCTCTCACGCTGGGTCACCCACGGGAGTCCCCGCTTTTCTTCCAGCCCTCCTGGGTGTGCAGCCACCTCCCCCCTCCGCAGAGCAGCTGGAAAAGGAGAGCCGCAGACCACGGTGGGGCGCTCAGCTCTGGGGTCTCTGGCTCCCGTGCCCGCCTGCTGGGGGCTCACACCCCTGCCCCCCACCCCCCAGAAGACATGACCGCCTGGCTGGAGCCCCGGGAGCCAGTGTGTTTGGTGGTTGTGAGCCTTTCGGCCCTGGTCCCACTTTGCGGCACTTCCACAGACGTGGCCAACAGGCAGAAACGGCTGCTGACCCTGAGAGCAGCTGGGGGGTTGGGGGGGGGCAGGAGGGCATGGACACTGTGCTGTGGTCTGCCGCTTTCATTTCCATAGGAGATTTTACTTAATCTTTTAACAATTCTGGGGCTTGGGACCTCGGTGAGTCCTATAACTGAACAAACGTGGGAAGTACAGTATGTCTACCAGGCCGGATGCCACCCTGTGGGTCTAATCGTTAGCGCTTCCTGGTGGAGGCGAGACCGATAAGAAACGCAGAGACGGGGACAGAGCTCACGCTGCATGGAGCTTACGACGCGTCTGCGGTGTGTACCCGGATGTGCGAGTGTTCTGAGGAACTTACGGTGACGGCTGCCAGCTCACCCGCTAAAGTATGAATAATGCCACCAGGACCCCACGGACTCAATGGCCTCGGGCTCCTGCACTAGTTTCTTCTTGAAAGACTGAAAATTGGCAGTGGCGGAAATTCAGAATAAAATTTACCAGAAAAATCGGTCAGCTCGAACACGTAACATGCTAAAACATGACCCCAAAATTACGTTCCAAGGGCCGGGGTACAGAGGGGCGTCACATGGACACAGCAGGCCTGAGACAGGACAGCTGCTCAGAGGAAGGCGCCCTTTTCTGAAGCACCTGTTGTCCCAGGCTGTGTAGAATTCTGGAAAACGCAGCGGGGCTTCTAGCTGCTTCTGGAGTCCTGCCTCCTTGTACATCCTGTCAACACAGGCGACTTCAGGCGCTGGTGACAGTGGCAACCGGGATGCTCCTGTCTGAGACGCTTTATACAGAGCGGGGTCCTAGGGACAGTTTGTGGGGGGTGGACAGGGGGAGGAATCAGAACCCACAGTCCTGGCTGCAGGGGCCGCTCTGTGCAGGCCAAACGTCGCCTAGAGCCGAGGGCCTCCCTGTGGAGCTGAACAGGCCCAGGCTTGGGGGCTGCTGGGTCCCCCTCATCTCCGAGAAACAGGGCCGCTCCGCCCTTCAGGCAGCCAGGCACAGTCAACAAGTGCCACCTGAATTTTCTAGATGGAAAATTAAGCAAACGCTTCACCAGTGTGGGAGTCCCCATGAATTGCAGATGTATGTGAAGAACTTGGTACTCTGATGGCCAACGGGACAAAGTGTCTGAGCACCTGAGCCTCAGCTGGGCGGTGGGCACCGCCGACAGCTCTCCAGCGTCTCTGTGACTTCCGCACTGTACTCAGCTCCCCGGGGCTCACGGTGCCACAGGGTCTGGGACGAGGGCCTCAAAAGCTTCAGCGTTCTGCCTTCTGATCACAGATTTGATTTGGTGGCAACATGTTGGTTTAAAAATTAACAGTGAACTTATTTAGTTTTTATAATTAGACCATCTTGAACCTCTCTGGAAACCCCTGGAGCCATCCAGGGGCTCCGGCCAGAGGACAGCAGAGGGCGGATGCACACGGCAGGGTGGTCAGCGGGGATCTGTCTCACTCGGCCAGCCGGGCAAATCCCTCAACTACTTTGGTTCGCTTTTCCTGTTCCGTGTGATGACATCAGGTTCTAAGAACAGCCGCTTTGTGATGCGGAGGGGGGTAGAGGGAGGTGAGCGGCCTGGTTCTCAGCAAGCGAGCTCAGGCGAAGCACACGGCAGGGTGGTCAGCGGGGATCTGTCTCACTCGGCCAGCCGGGCAAATCCCTCAACTACTTTGGTTCGCTTTTCCTGTTCCGTGTGATGACATCAGGTTCTAAGAACAGCCGCTTTGTGATGCGGAGGGGGGTAGAGGGAGGTGAGCGGCCTGGTTCTCAGCAAGCGAGCTCAGGCGAAGCCGGCGGACTCCTCTCTCCGGCCAGGTGGGACTGGACACGGTGCCTTCGTATTCTCAGGGCAAACCCACAGCTTCCAGGAGCAAACGCCACACAAGGACCCGCCCCACAGAGCGAGATTTGTAAGCACCCGCCGTGCTCTCCCGGAGCTTGGTCAGGCCTCACTCAAGCCCGGGAACGTGGACAGCCAGGCGGGGTCATCCTGCCTGTGTGCGGCCCATCGACGGAATTACTCTAGTGAGACCCACAGGAGCGACTCTCTCCTTTTAATGGTTTTTTTCTCCACGAAACTTTTGTTTTATTTAAGCGTTTAGCACCTTATGCTGAACGAGAGCTGCAGTTTCCTTCCATCTGTCCGTCAACCTTACGGTTTTGCATCCTTCTGTACTTTTGTTTTAGGTGGAAGAGCCCCTTTCAGCATTTCTTCTAATGCAGGTCTTGTGCTGGCAAACTCCCGCAGCTTCTGTATGATATGGTACTAATGTCGCCCCAATAAATTTAATTAAAGAACTAGATCCACAGCCGTCAGTTTTAGAGGAGGGAGGAGAAAATCATGTACCGGGAAGAAACCTGAATTAACCCGCCGTGCAGGTCTCTTTTCTGACCCCGAAGCATTTACGGTGCCACCGCCTTGTTTAAGGACAATATTTCAAACTTCTCGAACATTCTGTCCGCTCTAAATGCAGGTCACATGTGTCACCTGCCTTCTCCGGGGACTCTGTGTGTAGGCAGAGCAGGCACCACACTCCCATTTGAGGCTGAGACGACTAAGTCCCAGAGGGGCCCAGGGACGACTTGGCAAAGGCCACACGGCCAACCCGACAGCCAGGGCTGCACCCAGGGGACGTCTGGGTCCATCCTTCCATGTTTGCAAGTGTCCTATTTGTCACCCAATGTGTAGGACTGTGCAGTTTAACCCCCAGGGCTGTTGTGCCTATGGAGCCCTCACGGGAGTGGCTGGCACAAAGATGTCTGATGAAGGGCAGGTGAGCTGGAAACTTATTTGTGATGCGTGGTCTTGTCAGTGAATGCGAGGTGGTTTCCATAGCTACCATCAGAAGAGACAAGCTCTAGGTTTTCCTCTTGGTTATTACGAGGGCAAAGGACCCTCGAGGACAGACAGGCCGGGGCCCCGGGAGGCCATGCAGCTCAGTCACTAACGGATCCATCCCAGCAGGTGCCGTCGTCCAGAACCGCCCCACGCTCCACCTGAACCCACCGACGGGAAGGGAGGCCGCCTTTGCCTGTAAAACCACGGCTCTCTAAGGGCGGTGTTTCCTAGGCCTTCTGGTTGTGCTGTCACACTGAGCAACACGGGTCCGTGATCTTCATGTCACGAACAGCGAGTTCCGTGTGTTGCTGACGGCGGCGGGCATGTGTGGGGACACCGGCCGACACGGGAATTTCTTCCTCCCGGCCGTCTGCCAGGAGTCCTCCTGGGGCTCTCCTGCTGTCTCAGTTTTCCGTTAAGATTTAGGCTAAACCATCACGCTGGCTGGATGCCGTTCTCTGTGCTTAGATGGTGTGGCTGTGGAAACGCGGCATGGGCCTGGTGACAGGCCAGCGCTGTGTTCCGGTGGGCAGGGCTCCCCGTCGCTAATGGAGCCCCACGGCCCGGGAACATCCACAACGGCAGCAGCGGCCACCTGCACCCTCCCCCGTGTCACGGTTTATCTCCTGCCCACACAGCCTGAAATTCTCGACCACCATCAGGCTGTTAATTTGGGGCTGATTTTAGCCAATTACACACAGAAATGCCTTTATTGATTTGGAGTTGTCACAGCTGAGGCAAAGCAATACGCAGAGGGCACCAGGATGAGGGCGAAGTGGCAGCTATCATGGACTGCCCCCGAGTGCGGCCGTGCCATCTGCGTCACCCTCCCAGGGATCCTCTATCAGCGCACACCCACAGTCTGGTCCCAGCAAGAAGCCGCTCCTACAGCGGGTGTGACGAGGGATGCAGGGCACAGAGGGGCAGCATGTGCCTCCTGGACCCCGAGCGGGAAGGTTGCTCGCACTCACTGAACAAGAGAGCAAACTGGTGTCCACAGCAGGAAAGAGCCCGGCTGTGTCTGTGCTGAGGACACGAAAGCCTGCTTTGGGGATGGGAGGGTGGACAGGGGTGTCACCTTCGACGGACGGCTGTGATTT